TATGAGGTGCTGACCATGTGTTGTTACTTTGTAGCCGATCCATCATCCAAGGTGGCCGCCATTGGGGAACTTAGTTTAACATACAAATGTCTTCTTTTAGAGAACCACTTAATGGAATGAAACCAAACATGGCATGAATGTTCCTTATGAGGTGCTGACCAAGTGTTGTTACTTTGTAGCCGATCCATCATCCAAGATGGCCGCCAGCGGGGGACTTAGTTTAACATAGGACCCTAAGGGAAATACATAAAAATGTCTTCTTTTAGAGAACCACTGAATGGAATGGAACCAAACATGGCATGAATGTTCCTTATGAGATGCTTACCAAGTGTTGTTACTTTGCAGTCGGTCCATCATCCAAGATGGCCGCCAGCGGGGGACTTAGTTTAACATAGGACCCTATGGGAAATACATACAAATGTCTTCTTTTAGAGAATCACTGAATGGAATGAAACCAAACATGGCATGAATGTTCCTTATGAGGTTCTGACCAAGTGTTGTTACTTTGTAGCCCATCCATCATCCAAGATGGCCGCCAGCGGGGGACTTAGTTTAACATAGGACCTTATGGGAAATACATACAAATGTCTTCTTTTAGAGAACCACTGAATGGAATGAAACCAAACATGGCATGAATGTTCCTTATGAGGTGCTGACCAAGTGTTGTTACTTTGCAGTCGGTCCATCATCCAAGATGGCAGACAGCAGGGGACTTAGTTTAACAAAGGACCTATGGGAAATACATACAAATGTCTTCTTTTAGCTATAGAGAACCACTGAATGGAATGAAACCAAACATGGCATGAATCTTCCTTATGAGATGCTGACCAAGTGTTGTTACTTTGTAGCCGATCCATCATCCAAGATGGCCGCCAGCGGGGGACTTAGTTTTACATAGGACCCTTTGGGAAATACATAAAAATGTCTTCTTTTAGAGAACCAATAAATGGAATGGAACCAAACATGGCATGAATGTTCCTTATGAGATGTTGACCAAGTGTTGTTACTTTGCAGCCGATCCATCATCCAAGATGGCCGACAGCGGGGGACTTAGTTTAACATAGGACCCTAAGGGAAATACATACAATTGTCTTCTTTTAGAGAACCACTGAATGGAATGGAACCAAACATGGCATGAATGTTCCTTATTAAGTGCTGACCAAGTGTTGCTACTTTGTTGCCGATTTACTGTTCAAGATGGCCACCAGGATATTTTATTAAATAACGGGATCAATATTAATCAAAATTTGGCCTCAATCATTATTTGGGTATCTGTTATGATTTTTATCTATCTTTACATGATTTCTAAAACCAAAGTAGAGTCAGGTGAGCGACACAGGCTCTTGAGAGCCTCTAGTTTCAGAGACAAGTGCATGTGGTTAAAATGCAGTTTTGGGCTTATATCTCAAAGCTATAAAGCTGTAAAAGCAAAAATAACCGCAGATAAAAAGATCAGCAGGTTATTGTTTATCTATCACGAAATGTTCAGAAAATTGGATAACCCATTCTCAAGGTATTGCTCTGGAAATATTAATTTTTACCAAAGGACAAGGTACACTAATTACCAATTTTTGTTCAAATCAAATTGATGTGTAATAAAATATAGTACTATAATTTTAAAGTTTGAAACCTTTATTTCGGTAAGCTACTATAATTTTGTTACAAAAAGATTATCGTATATGAATTTAATATTTTTGCTGCTAGTAATTTGCTCCAAAAAATAATCTGTGGGGTAAAATTATCAAAATTAGTATTAATGTTTTTCCTAATACACTATTTTACCTCCACAGGGATATCTGATATTCAAACTGTAACAGAGCATAAAGTTATTTGTCTGAACTTTTTGTTTTATCTGATCAAATACGAGAAAGTTTCTCCTTTGATAGTCAGCAATGTGACAGAGGTTTATCACACCAGCAATTCCCCATCTATGATATAATGGGAAATCTTATGTTTGTACAAAATTCAAGATATCAAGAGAGAGGCATTCCTTGATGTTTAGATGAGTGTAAAGCTTGGAAGTTGCCTTTCAAAAAGGATTGCTGAGTTTATTACTTATCTACAATAGTATGAAATTTTGTAAAGAAAATGATCTTGCACCTCCAAATGTATTCAATATCAATTTTAGAATACTTTGCCAGTCCCCAATCAAATTTGCAGAAAATCTCCTCACCCAACCAATTTTAAGATAAAAGTTGAACGGTTGTTAATAAACCATAATGCGTTTAACTTTTTTTGTTTTTCCATCCCATTAAAATTAAAGAATAATCTGTTGATTTCATTCAAAATGGATTGACATAGATTATATTGTGTAAAGAGGTAAGCAAAGGAATTAAGTTTGGAAGTGCAAGAGTCTTAATAACGGTAACCTTTCCCAGCAGTGTTAGCTTCCAATTATTGTGCTATGATCATTTTTGTATTCTTGCCTTTCATTTTTGCTAATGTACTTTGTCTATAGAGTGTCTATATACCATTTTGTTTTTCTTTGTTGAAATAGTTATTTGTTTTTATAGTGATAATGTTATAATGGAATTCTATGTGAACTTTCTATCACTAGGATAGCAAGTCCTTCATGGGTATAACAATAAAAGTGTTTCTGTTTTTATGCCCCCGCCGTAGCGGAGGGGGCATTACGTTTTACCCTTGTCCATCTGTACGTCCCAAAATTGGTTTCCGTTCTCTAACTTTAGTTTGCCTCAACCAAATGTTATGAAACTTATACACAATGCTTATTACCACAAAACACAGATCAAGTTTGAATTTTGGTGGCGTCACTTTTTCCGTTCTAGAGTTATGCCCCTTTACAAATTAAAAAATTGCTGAATTTTTCGTTTCCGTTCTCTAACTTTAGTTTGCCTCAACCAAATGTTATGAAACTTATACACAATGCTTATTACCACAAAACACAGATCAAGTTTGAATTTTGGTGGCGTCACTTTTACAGTTCTAGAGTTATGCTCCTTCACAAATTAAAAAAATGCTGAATTTTTCGTTTCCGTTCTCTAACTTTAGTTTGCCTCGACCAAATGTTATGAAACTTATACACAATGCTTATTACCACAAAACTCAGATCAAGTACAAATTTAGATAGCATCACTTTTACAGTTCTTGAGTTATGTCCCTTTATAACGTTATATGCAAGCGGGGGCATCATCTGTGTCCCATGGACACGTTCCCCATTTATTTCATCATTTTTTTCCCCTCGTGTTGTAGTTTCTGTCATGTAATGCATTATAAGTATCATCATTCTTATCCTGTACTTTGTTCAAGTCACCACTGAAAATGAAACTCGTATTCGAAAATCTGATAGTTTTTGTCGAGCCTGAGACTTCTGTCGCAGAAAGCGAGACATAGGGATAGTGATCCGGCAGCGGCTAACTATCTACTTAAAAGCTTAATATTTCAGAAGGTAGAAGACCTGGATGCTTCATACTTTGTATATAGATGCCTTATGTTATGAAGTTTCTGTCAGTCATATGTCCATTCAGTGATTACTTGAAAAAAAAAATTTTGAAATCTTAATTTCTCTATTGATAACTATATTTGGTATGTGCATACCTTGCAAGGTCCTCATGCCTGTCGGTCAGTTTTCACTTGACCTTGACCTCATTTCATGGATCAGTGAACAAGGTTAAGTTTCGTGGTCAAGTCCATATCTCGAATACTATAAGCAATAAGTCTACTATATTTTGTGTATGGAATAATTGTAAGGTGTACATGTCAGTCTGGCAGGTTTTATTTGACATTGACCTCATTTTTACAGTTCATTGCTCAATGTTAAGTTTTTGTGTTTTGGTCTGTTGTTTTGAAACTATAAGCAATAGGTCAACTATATTTGGTGTATGGAATGATTGTAAGGTGTATGTCTGTCTGGCAGTTATCATCTGACCTTGACGTCATTTTCATGGTTCATTGGTCAATGTTAAGTATTCCTGGTTAAGTTTGTTTCTTAGATACTATATGCAATAGGTCAACTATATTTAAAGCATGGAATGTTTGTTAGAAGTACATGTCTGTCTGGCAGGGTTCATCTGACCTTGACCTCATTTTCATGGTTCATTGGTCAATATAAAGTTTTCATGGTTTGGTCTGTTTCTTGTAGACTATAAGCAATAGGTCAACTATATTTGGTGTATGGAATGATTGTAAGGTGTACATGTACTTCTGGCTTGGTTTATCTGACCTTGACCTCATTTTCTTTGATCATGTTAAGTTTATGTGATACTTGTAGTAAAACTTTATATTTAGGACTATCAACATAGAAATCAATGGTCAGTAAAGCAGGCGAGACATTTCAGCGTGTGCACACTTGTTTAGAGTTAGTGCCCATGAAATGTAAAGTTTTTTGCAAATTTTGAAGTTTTTGGTTAATGTCTTTAAACCCGTCCCTAGGATTTTCATGGCATTCCATGGAATTTCCATGGCAAAATTGTTGCCATGAAAACGATGGAGTATTGAAACGAGCTTTTCCATGGTTTTCATGAATTCCATGGCATCGAAAAAAAGAGTGACAGGGATTGTATACTCAGTATTTCCATCGTTGCCATGAAATTCATGGCAACCATTAAAGGATGGAAAGCATGGCATCAATGGCAAATTGCCATGATTTCCATGGAAAGTATGGCATCGATGGCAGGTTGCCATGGTCTCTATGAAAAGTATGGCATTGATGGCAGGTTGACATGGCATCTATGAAAAGTATGGCATCGATGGCAGGTTGCCATGAAAACGATGGCAACAATTACAGATTACCATGGAAAGTATGGCATCCATGGCATTTCCCCGTATTCACTCACAAATGGACATGCAGGTAATATTACCTTGTATAGTTCTGTATAGTTGAATAACATATTCTTTTCAAAATAGGACGCCGGGAAAGTAATTATCTGCAGGAGTTCTCATCAGATTGAATTAACCTGATTACTTTCAAAATAAAGCTACACCTTTTAAATTTCATTGCCATATATTGCTAGCAAAAAAGATTAAAATAATAAAACCTATTAAAAATAAAATTAACAATGATTTAATGTAAAGTATAACATTTTGGAATATTCAAAGTTCATCTTTGCTATCTGTCGTCTATTTTGCCTTGTGTTGCATACTTGGCTTCAGCAGATGGTTGATGACCTGGTGGACAGATGCGTCCTCAACTTTCCATTTCTTTTGTATGATGCCTAAAAAAAAAAATAGTTACCCTATTAATTTTTATTTTGAAAAATATCATATATATACTAGTGTATTAAAATTAAACAAAAATGTGTTTGATATATTTTATACCGCTGGTCTTGGGTACCCTTATCAAGAGATAATGTGTGATAATTAATTAAAAAAGGGAATTCTTTGTAAGACACACATGTAGATGCTCTGTAGAGCACATGGTGACCTTCCAACAGCTATCATGTCACGCCTTGAAGTATAAACTTGTGTATACAGAAGAGTATCAATGTCATCAAGTTCCATGAACACTAGTTGAATAGATTTATTTTTTTTATACTAAAATTTATCAAATGTGCATATTTTTTTTCTGTTACATGTCTTCTTTTAGCCAACGGAACATTGTTTAATTATTATAATAAGACATTAAAATATATGGAAATATAACACTTCTTCCATTATGCATTGGTGTATTACGTTACTGTACATGTTTAATAGAGTAAAACTTACTTTAAAGAGCACATAGTTTTTCCTGGTCCTCAAGACCCGGCCTTGAAAGCCCTTTGTTGGAAGGCTGCCCTTTCAAAGACCTTTGTAAACATTGCCCTGAATAAAAATGTTGTCCCCTTTTTGAAGAATGTCTCTCGACTGATTTTCAAGAACAGCTGTTCCTAAAAAAAAATAAAATGGTCAGTTGTAACACTAGTAGTACTGGCAAGACAATAGAGCAGATTTAGTTAAAGCTCTAAAAACATATTTATTTTGCAGATTACTAATTTTTTGCTATTTAAGTCTTCTATAGAAATCCATGAAAAAATGGAACTTGCACACATGTGATAATTTTACTGTTTATCTGTGTACAAAATTGTGAAACCGTAATAATTGTTATCTGCTACCACAAAGATAATTTGTTTATGCAAGATACAAATTAAATATCACCAAAAACAATTAAAAGCTTTAGCATGATACAACAGCAGCACATAGGGAATTGGGAAGGAGGGGTGTTATCCCAAACTTTTGAAAATAATATGGGTAATCCTGCATTTATTTGATTTCTGAATCCTGAACAAAAGAAATAATTGATCCTGAATCCTGATAAGGGTTTTACCAAATTCTGGGACATTAAATCGCTCAATCCCAGACTCCCAGAAAAGATTCTTTCACCCCCTTGTTCAGTAACTTATATGGAAAGCCAATTGCCTTAGTCACACGAGAGAATGGTGGACTGCAAAAATCACAAATTTAAAAAAAAATAAAAATAAAGCTTATCATAAATTTCCCCCTTTTTCATTTCCCAGGCCGAATATTGAACCTATAATTCCTTAATGACTAACGGTCAATGATCAAAACACATACACAAATAGAAAAAAAACAAAAAAAACTAGAGAGTGTGTCTATGAGACACGGTATGCCCAGATTGTTCATCATATTGATTTTAAAGCAAAATCTAACAACAGTCATTTAAGTATAAAATATAGGTTAGAGTGACCTTAGTAACAGTGGTTTATATTCAATACTTCCCAAGACCTGTCCACTGACCAAATATCAATGCCTTACCATGTCTAGCATATGGGAAATGGACCTAAATGCAAAATTTAAGCAGAGTCATTAATGCGCAAAATGTAGGTCAAAGTGACCAAATGATTAGTGAACCCTGTAGTACATCCCAAGACCCATCCACTGATCAAGTATCAATGCTACACCATGTCTCGTATCTGAGAAACAGACCTAAACACAGTACTTGATCAAGAACAGGATGTACGGAAAGACGTGCATACTGACAGACAGACAAGGGTAAAACTATATGCCCCTTTCACATATGTGATCGGGGCATAAAAGACTGCAGCCCCTTTTTTATCCTTATCATGTTAAACCTCTATTTATTTGATGATTCTTTTTTTACAGAATCAGATGGGGTTTTTTTATGATAAAAAGAAATGTCCTACATACCTACCTAATTCCAGAGGTAGGGTTGTATAAGGGGGAAACAAACATAATTTTGGATGTGGTCTTAATAAACTTTTATGAGTACCTTAGTAAATCCATTATAAAGTTCTTCTTGTATGTCAAGAAGCCTTAAAGTTAAACTAAACGAAGACACATATTTTTAGTATACATGTCAGGAAATTTTCCTGATCACAGTAATGACTAATGTAAACGCTTGCGTACCCCCCCCCCCTTTTTTTTTCTTATTTGAATTTTTAAGCTCGTTTACCCAAAGTGAAAATGAACATGCTTCTAACATTAAATGCTCTTAAAAATAGTATAATTGGAGGAAATTATATATGATAATATATTGTTCACTATGGCCCTTCCATGTGTTCAGATCAGGGATACAATGTTGACGTTATATTTTTCTCTGATTGTGTAATATTGATACCAATTTGGAGTTTCTAAATGCAATTCATACATATGAAGAACCGTGATAGCCACATAGAAATATCTACATACCATAATGATACTTGATAAACGGCAAGTTTCTCCTCGACTTCGTCCTTTGTTGTTCTATCTTTTTAAAAACAGGAAAGGTGCAGGTTTAAATAATGCGCATGGGCAATCTAACTTCCTGTTCAAATCCCGCGAAAATATGAATAAAACAAGTTTGAGCTTTCTAAAAAGCTGTGGACTGCTTCGCATTTTTGTAAACATTGTATAGGAACATTGTTTAGCAAAACAAATCGTGCATATTGCAGATTAACAAAGCAAATAAACACGTATTAATAATTGATATTTCAATATTGAATTTCAGTGTGCAACCCCCTTTTTCCCCAACATACACACAAAGATTAATAGTCGGTGCAAATAGATATGTTAATTACACTTTAAAAAAACTATTTATGTCTTCCATTTGATATTGTTTTCAAAAAATCTTATTGACAATTAACCCTATAATATGCACAATTTTTTTGATAATGTTTTCAGTAACTTTTTATGTTTCAAATCATCAAAATATTCTAAGTCGATTTTCTTCAAAATATTCTGAGTCCAATTTGCCATCGTTTTCATCTTAGAAAAATTCTAAGTGCTACTTTTCCATCGTTTGCCATCCTCAAAAATTTCAAAGTCCAAATTTGCCATCGTTTCCATCCCCCAAAAAGTTAAAGTCCAATATTTGCCATCGATTGCCATAGATTTTCATCCTTTCCATGGAATTTCTTTCATGGCAAATATGAAAACGATGGCATTTTTTGCCATGGAAAATTTTTGCCATGAATTTCGTGGCATTTCATCAAATTTTACATCGTTTCCATCCTTTTTCCATGGCATTCCATGAAAAATCGATGGCATCGATGGAATTCCATGAAAATCCTAGGGACGGGAAACTATAAAAGATAGAGAGAAATTAAACAGTAAAAACTACCAGACCAGTAAGATCTACAAACATTTCAAACATGGCAGAAATTTGACCCTTATAGGTGTTTTTTCACTTGAAAGAAGTGTTTTACTCATTTATTGCATTTTATGTAGAAACTATAAAATGTATAATAGAAAGAAACTGTTAAGGGCAAAATAAGATCGTCAAATAAGTCAATTAAAACCTGATAGGAGTTATTGCCTTTGATTGATTGTTTTTTTCCAACAATTAAAGCATATATACATGACATAAATACAATATGATACATGTAAGTTATACAATTTAATTATCACAAATACATTGTAGTTGAAAATAATAGATATTTCCTATAGAACAGATAAAAATAAAAAAGTTAAAAAAAAAAAAAAAAAAAAAATAAAAAAAATAAGTAAATAAATAATTATAAGTAACAGATAGTAAAGGAGTGAAAAATGAAGAAGAATAAAAGGGAAAAAAAAAGAGAAGAGGAATTATCCAGTCACATCCCTATCTATATTTTTAAATCAAATATATTCATGATGAACAATATTTAAGGAATTCACTATACATATTTCTTTTGTAACAGCCAGGAACACAGGTCAAGAACATTACATGAATATTAATATATATTCTGTGAAATAAATTATTGGTTAATAGTGAATAGCATGTATTAAATAACAGATTTTCAAAAACATTCCAAACATTGTCAAATTCAGTTATTTTGTATTGTTAACAGCAATCATACTTTCTAATTTGTACATTTCTTTCAGCTTTATTTTTGTCCCCTGCACAACGCATTGCGGGGGACATGGAAATACCGGGCTTCTGTCCGTCCGGTCTTGTTAGCACTCTCACGTACAATTCTTGCCAGATTTTTATGAAACTTATATCATAGGTTTATATCAGCAATGTCTGGACGAGTTTGAAAATCAGTGCTGAACAATTATTTTTAAAAGAGTTATGCCCCTTGGAAACATTAATTATATGGAAAATTGCAACGTTAGTGCTCTCATTTGTACAATTCTTGCCAGATTTTTGTCTCGCCTTGACGGAGTCAAAAAGCGAGACATAGGTATGCTGTTTCCGTCGGCGGCAGCGTCAGCGGCGTCAACAATGTATTAGTTTGTGATTAGGTCTAGTTTATGGGGAACCACTAGTGGTAGGTCAATGATATTTGGTATGCAGTTGTATTAGCATTGGCACATCTCATTACCATGGAGATTATTTGGCCCCGCCCCCTCAGTCAAGGTATATTGACTTTGAAACTTTGCTTAGTTTACATGTATTAGTTTGTGATTAGGTCAGTTTATGGGGAACCACTAGTGGTAGGTCAATGATATTTGGTATGCAGTTGTATAGCATTGGCATATCTCATTTCCATGGAGATTATTTGGCCCCGCCCCCTCATTTATGGTCTATTGACTTTGAAACTTTTGCTTAGTTTTCATGTATTAGTTTGTGATTAGGTCAGTTTAGGGGGAACTGTTAGTGGTAGGTCAATGATAAATGGTATACAGTTGTATAAGCATTAGCACATCTCATTTTCATGGAGAATATTTGGTCCTTACCCCTCAGTCATTTGCTTAGTTTACAAGTTACTGTTTGTGTTTAGGTTTGTTTAAAGGGAACGACTTATGAAAAGTCAATGGTATTTGGTTTGCAGTTGTATTAGCATTGGCACATCTCATTTCCATGGAGATTGTTTAGCCCTGTACTTTCAGTCATGGTTCATTGACTTTGAATATTTGCATAACTTACATGTTAAAGTATTGCTATTTTAATTTCAACATTTGCATTATCAAAATAACAGATAGGCGAGACTTATCTCTGTGTTAACAGTTTATTATGAAACTTATATCATAAGTTTATATTAGCAATGTCTTGGACAAGTTCGAAAATCAGTGCTGATCAATTCTTTTAAAAAGAGTTATGCCCCTTAGAAACATTAATTATATGAAAAATTGCATCATTAGCGCTCTCATGTGTACAATTCTGGTCAGATTTTTATGTAACTTATATCATAGGTTTATATCAGCAATGTCTTTGACAAGTTCGAAAATCAGTGACGATCGATTATTTTTTAAAGAGTTATGCCCCTTGGAATTATTAATTATATGGAAAATTGCATTGTGAGCACTCTAATGTGTACAATTCTTGCCAGATTTTTATGAAATTTATATTATAGGTTAATATCACCAATGTCTTTGATGAGTTTGAAAATCAGTGGCAATCAATTATTGTCGAGCCGCAGAAAGCTAGACATAGGGATAGTGATCCGGCAGCGGCGGTGTTAACTAACTACTTAAAAGCTTTATATTTTAGAAGGTGGAAGACCTGGATGCTTCATACTTTGTATATAGATGCCTTATGTTATGAAGTTTCCGTCTGTCATATGTCCTTTGTCCTTGACCTCATTTTCATAGTTCAGTGACTACTTGAAAAAAAAAGTTAAGATTTTTTGTAATGTTAATTTCTCTCTTATTATGAGTAATAGGATAACTATATTTAGTATGTGCGTACCTTGCAAGGTCCTCATGCCTGTCAGACCGTTTTCATCTGATCTTGACCTCATTTCATGGATCAGTGAACAAGGTTAAATTTTCGTGGTCAAGTCCATATATCAGATACTATGAGCAATAGGTCTACTATATTTGGTGTTTGGAATGATTGTAAGGTGTACATGTCCAACATGTAGGTGTCATCTGACCTTGACCTCAATTTCATGGTTCAGCGGTTAAAGTAAAGTTTTTCTGTTTTGTTTTTTTTTTAATACTATATGAAATAGGTCAACTATATTTGGTGTATGGAAATATTTTACGATGTACATGTCAGTCTGGCAGGTTTTATTTGACCTTGACCTTCTTTTCACGGTTCATTGCTCAGTGTTAAGTTTTTGTGTTTTGGTCTGTTTTTCTTAAACTATCAGTAATAGGTCAACTTCATTTGGTGTATGGAATGATTGTAAGGTGTATATGTCTGTCTGGCAGGTATCAATGATCTGACCTTGACCTCATTTTTTTATGGTTCATTGGTCAATGTTAAATTTTCATGGTTAAGTTTGTTTCTTAGATACTAAAAGCAATAGGTCAACTATATGTAATGCATAGATTGATTGTAAGGTGTACATGTCTGTCTTGCATGGTTCATCTGACCTTGACCTCATTTTCATGGTTCATTGGTCAATGATAAATTTTCCTGGTTAAGTTTGTTTCTTAGAACTATAAGCAATATGTCAACTATATTTTGTGTATGGAATGACTGGAAGGTGTACATGTATTTCCGGTTTGGTTTATCTGACCTTGGCCTCATTTTCTTGGATCATGCTAAGTTTATGTGATACTTGTAGTAAAACTTTATATTTAGGACTATCAACATAAAATCAATGATCAGTAAAGCAGGTGAGACATTTCAGGGTGTGCACTCTTGTTTTTAAAAGAGTTATGTCCTTGGAAATATTGATTATATGAAAATTGCATTGTTAGCGCTCTCATGTGTACAATTCTTGCCAGTTTTTTTATGAAATATACATTATAGGTTTATATCATCAACCTTTTTGATGAGTTCAAAAATCAATGCAGATCAATTATTTTTAAAAGAGTTATGGAAATATTGATCTATATGGAAAATTGCATTGTTAGCACTCTCATGTGTACAGTTCTTGCCAGATTTTTATGAAATTTATATTATAGGTTTATATCATCAATGTCTCAGACAAATTTGAAAATTGGTGCAGATCAATTATTTTTAAAAGAGTTATGTCCCTTGGAAATATTGATTGTATGGAAAATTGCATTTTTAGCGCTCTCATGTGTTTAATTCTTGCCAGAGTTTTATGAAACTTATATCATAGGTTTTTATCAGCAATGTCTTTGACACTTTCGAAAATAAGTGCTGATCAATTATTTTTAAAAGAGTTATGCCCTTTGGAAATATTAATTATATTGAAAATTGCCTTATGAGCGCTCTTATGTGTACAATTCTTGCCAGATTTTTATGAAATATACCTTATAGGTTTATAACATCAATCTTTTTGATGAGTTCGAAAATCAGTGCCGATCAATTGTTTTTAAAAGAGTTTTGATCCTTGGAAATATTGATTTATATGGAAAATTGCATTGTTAGAACTCTCATGTGTACAATTCTTGCCAGATTTTTATGAAATTTATATTATAGGTTTATATCATCAATGTCTCAGACAAATTTGAAAATTGGTGCAGATCAATTATTTTTTAAAGAGTTATGTCCCTTGGAAATATTGATTGTATGGAAAATTGCATTTTTAGCGCTCTCATGTGTACAATTCTTGCCAGAATTTTATGAATCTTATATGATAGGTTTATATCAGCAATGTCTTTGACACTTTCAAAAATAAGTGCTGATCAAATATTTTTAATGAGTTATGCCCCTTAGAAAAATTAGTTATAACAGAAATCGCATTGAATTTGCTCTCAAGACATTTAGTAACTTTAGTATAAGTAAATAGAAATCTATGAAATTTAAACACAAGGTTTATGACCACAAAAGGAAGGTTGGGATTGATTTTGGGAGTTTTGGTCCCAACAGTTTAGGAATAAGGGGCCAAAAAAGGGCCCAAATAAGCATTTTTCTAGTTTCCAGACGTTAACTTGCGGAATGGTGTATGGATCTCTCTGAAATTATACCACAAGTTTCCATACCACAAAGGGATGGTAAGAATTGGTTTTGGAGGGTTATGGCTCAAACCGATAAGGAATAAGGGGCAAAAAAGGGGGAAAAACAAGGGTTTCCAGATTAATGGACAATTACTTAAGTACAAAACATAATTTAAAAGCAGTGTAAGGGAGGTAATTCAAACACATTTGAATTACCTCACTTACACTGCTTTTAAATTATGTATATTGGAAATTTGCCAATAACTTTAGTATTAATAAACTACATTGGAAATTTGCCAATAACTTTTAAATAGTATAATAAACTCCATTGGAAATTTGCCAATAACTTTAGTATAATAAACTCCATTGGAAATTAGCCAATAACTTTAGTATAAGTAAATAGAAATCTGTGAAATTTAAACACAAGGTTTATAACCACAAAAGGAAGGTTGGGATTGATTTTGGGGGTTATGGTTCTAACAGTTTAGGAATTAGGGGCCAAAAAGAGGCCCAAAAAGGCATTTTTCTAGTTTCCAAACAATAACTTGTGTTTAAGTGTATGGATCACTGAAATTATACCACAAGTTTCCATACCACAAAGGGATGGTTAGGATTGGCTTCGGGGGGTTATGGCACAAACCGTTTAGGAATTAGGGGCAAAAAAGGGGGAAAAACAAGGGTTTCCTGGTTAATGGACAATTTGAAAGCAGTGTAAGGGAGGTAATCCAAAAATAAAATTGTACAATGGAAACCTATTAGGTGTCAATGCTGTTGTATCCAGCTGCCCCCGGCGAAGCAATTTATTGCTTTTTGTTTGCTAGTTCTAGTATGAAATATTTTTTAGCTGTTTCTAGAAACATCAAATACTGTGATTTGAATACATATAATATTATAATAGTGTATATCAAAGGGTTCAGTGGTAATAAATTTTTATACTCAGAATTGATTATTCTTTCTTTGAGTTACCTCCCTTACAATGGTTCCATACTACAAAGGAAAGACTGGGATTGAGTTTGATGGTTAATGCTCCAAGTGGGATTCAAAAAGGTTTTTTTTGGGGGGGGGGGGGTTCCAATTTTTTTTAAGGGGTTCATATTTTTTTTCCAAATTTTTCGAATTTCAAATTTTTGAAAAGTTTCAAGAAGAAATCTTCAATTGCCAGTATTGCACATTAAATTTGTAAGATCTTTGACCACATTTATTTTGTGTCAGAAACCTATATTATGTCAAAAATTTGATCACAATCCAAATTCAGATAGTATGAAGCTTGAATATTGTGTCCAAATTTGCCCCAACTGTTCAGGGTTCGACCTCTGCGGTCGTATCAGGCTGCGCTCAGCGAAGCATTTTATTAGTAATTGCCCTTGTACCTTGAATAGATAAAATATGTGCAACGCGGGGGACATTGGAACTCTGTTCTTTTATTATTGCTTGCAGTGAGAGATTCTTTTAAAGGATGTAGAATCATACATATATTTAAGGAATGACTGTAATATTTTTCTCATCACTTGGGGTCCGTCATTGTCTTCCGTCGTCGCCAACTTTTACAAAAATCTTCTCCTCTGAAACTACTGGGCCAAATTTAACTAAACTTGGCCACAATCATCATTGGGGTATCTAGTTTAAAAAAATGTGTCAGATGACCTCGCCTGCCAACCAAGATGGCCGACATGGCTAAAAATAGAACAAAGGGGTAAAATGCAAGTTTTGTCTATTATTTTGAAACCGTTATAAATAGAGAAAATCTGAAAGGGGCAGAAATGTTCAGAATATTAAGCTCTACCAATTGTCTATATACATCAAAACTGTCAGACGACTTCTTATAGGAGTTATTGCCCTTAAATGACAAATTTTATCATTTTTTAAAATTTTTTGCCTTCTATCTGGAAAACCTTAATAGAAAAAGAAAAGCTTTAAATTGCAAAAATGATCAGCAAGACAAGTTCTACAAGTAGGTCTGCATTTTCAAAATCGTCAGTCAACTCCTTATTAGAGTTATTGCCCTTTGAAGATGATTTTTACCAATTTTTTGCGTTTTTTTGCCCTATATCTTAAAAATTATAATAGATAGATAGAAACTTAAATAAGCAAAAATGATCAGCAAGACAAGATGTACAATTAAGACAATATGAAGGAAATCGTCTGATGACTCCTTCTGGAATTATTGCCCTTTAAAGACGATTTTCACCATTTTTAACCGGATTTTCAAAGTAAAAGTCGGTTATTGATTTGGGGATGTACAGCGGGCGGGCGGGCGGGTGGGCGGCTGCCAAACAGTGTCTCTTCAATAACATGAAACCCTTTGACAAAATTTTTTCAAATTTAGATATGTTGTTTCCTGCGACTAAATGAAGGTCAAGTTCAATTTTCACGATTTCAGCTTTTCTCGTTTGTGAGTTATTGCCCTTTTTAATATTCATAAGTGGTATTTTTTTGTGATTGAGTTATTTTCCTTTGAACAGAACTTGTTAATTATATACATAAAGTTTGATTACACTAAGCCTTTATAGATAATTTTCACCTGTTTATATGTCCTGTTATCAGTTTACTAATTAAACATATGGTTAATGTCTTATCTTGAGTGACAGATTTATTTGAAAATTTTCTGTTTTGTAAGTGTTGATGATTGAAAGCTATATAGGAGTAAATATAGTTAGAAATTTACTGATCATTATTAGACATTTTGAAGATAATTACTGATAAGTTTTATCGATTTTTAAAAGACATTGTATTAATGATAAATAAAATTTTTGATTTTTTTTTCTTTTCTTTGGTAAATTGTAAATTGTTTGTTATTCTGTAAAAACTAATTTTCTGAATGCTATATATATTTTTTTGATTAGGTGAACTCCTTTCAAAACTTAGCTTATATTGTCTATTAATAAACATATATTAAGATTTCTGATTTTGGGCCCAGTTTTCAAGTTGGTCCAAATCGGGGTCCAAAATTAAACTGTGTTTGATTTCAACATAAATTGAATATATATATAGGGTTCTTTAAAATGCTGAATCTAAACCTGTATTTATTTTCATTATTAGTTAGATAATACCACATCGAGGTACAAAGGGTCCTAAATTAAACTTTTGTTTAATCAACAATTGAATTCTTGGGTTCTTTGATATGCTGATTTTAACAATGTTTGAGTGTTAAATCATATCTAATTTTAGAGAACTTAGTTATCACTGGTTGTTGTTATTATATTATTGATTATAATTTGAAAAATTACATCATATCTATTTTTATAGAACTTAGTCATCACTTCACTGGTTTATTGATTATAATCATATCTATTTATTCAGTTTGAGTTATTTCCCTTTGCACAGAAAATATATGGATAAAATTAAATTGTGTTTCATGTCAACTTAATTTAAATATATATAGGGTTCTTTCAAATGCTGAATCTAAACCTGTATTTAAATATTAGATTTTTGGGCCCAGTTTTCAAGTTGGTCCAAATCAGTGTCCAAAATTAAACTTTGTTTGATTCACAAAAATTGAATTTATGTGGTTCCTTGAAATGCTGAATCTTACCATGTATTGAGAGATTTTGGATTGTGAGCTCCTTTATCAAATTGGTCCACATTGTGGTCCAAAGGGTCCTAAATTAAACTTTTGTTTGATTTCATCAAAAATTGAATTTTTGGAGTTCTTTGATATGCTGATTCTGACAATGTACTTAGATCTTGGATATTGGACCATAATAGGTAAATGTCCAATTTCAAATATTTTAGTTCTTTGACCACATTCATTTTGTGTCACAAACCTATGCTGTGTCAAATATTCAACCACAATCCAAATTAAGAGCAGTTTTAAGCTTAAATGTAGTGTCCATACTTGCTCAACTGTTCAGGGTTCCACCTCTGCAGGAAAATCTGGTTTGCTGTCACTCTGACAGCCTCTTGTTTTTTGTTTGTTTTGCCATATATGATAAAAAATTATAATAGATAAATAGACACTTTAAATCACAAAAATGATCAGCAAGTCAAGATCTACTAACAAGTCAAATTTTGCCGATATAGTTAATAGACTGTCACTCTTTATAGGAGTGATTGCCCTTAAAAGAGGATTTTTTTTACTCTCTTTTGTGTTTTGAGCATAAACTAAAGAAGAAAGAGAGAGAATAAACAGACTAAATGATCAGCAATACAAGATCAACAAAACAGATTTTTGTCATGAATTCTGTTCTCGTCTTCAATTTTGGAGAGTGTCCTTTGTTGAATACGCACATAGACCAAGGTGAGTGACACAGGCTCTTTAGAGTTTCTAGTTCTGTCTATGAAGAAATAACCTCAAAAATGTGGTGCACACTGAATAACATGCACATTTTTGAGGTTATTTCGAATAGACAGAAAAAATATTACAGTCAGTCCTTCATGAAAAAACGTTGATGACATCACGGTCACATGACAAAATTATGTCTATGAGCTGATGGACAAAAAACTTTCAGCCAATCAGAAGACATGTTACATCCAAAATTAAATTATTGTTTAATATGAAGAAAAATCTTGTTGTATTGGTTGTTGGGGAATATTTTGATAAGTCTCCAAAAAGAAAGTTTAATTTATTCATTGGTACTGGCATGATTTATAACAAACCTTTCTTAAATTGTCTGTTTATAAATTGAAATTATAAAGAAACTACTAAGGTTTCAACTCACTCGAGCAAAGTCGACCGTAGATGAATTTGGCTATTTTTTTAGGTCTTTTTTTGTCATATAGCTCTTCAACTGTTTTGGTTTTTATACATCTTTGGCTATCTAATATTTTTGACTTTGAGCTTTCCTGATGAAGGTAAATCCAGAAAAGCGCTTAGGATGCATGAAATTTAAAACATGTTGTTTATATTTTTTTGTGGGACTTATTCCACCGGAAAGATGGTTTGAGGTCTTTCAGATTAGATACATATATATGCCTGTGATAAGTATGATAGGTTTGCATTTAGTTTCTTTTTATTTTAGAAGTAAAGTATACAATGAAATTTATGTTAACTTTCAGGATAAAAGTTTTTGTTGAAGATAAAGATTGCTCTGGAGGAAGTTTGCTGCTCACTGTAAAACTTAATGATACAATAGGAGATCTTAAGGCTAAGGTATGTAATCATTTTGTATTTTGACTGCCTGTTTATCTAGAATCATAATTATGAATATGTCTACCTTTCATGCACAAATGTAATAATGTAAAAGAATGGTAACTTTTCCCTGGGTTAGACATTTACCAGAGTAGAACCTTTTCAAATCATTTACTTTTCATTACACCAAAGATGCAATATTTTGAAATTTGTCATTGTCTGCCAATAAAGCTTTTAAGATCACTTAGTCTTATGGACATATGGACCATGATGGATGTCCCCTATCCTTCATACAAAGGGTCATATGAGCTTTTGCCATCAATTTTTATCCATCAATCTTCATAAACTTTTACCTCTGAAGCTGCTGAACCAATTTTAATTAAAGATATTGTGAATGCACTAAAGGGTGCCCAGATCCAGATTACATTTTTTTATATTTCATACTTTCCAACGTGGTTGCCAATGCAAAAAAAGAACAAAGGAATTATATACAAGTATTTTCTATAATTTGGAAAACCATTGTAGATAAAGAAAATCTGACAGAGCAAGAATTTTCAGAATGTTAGGTCTACATATTTATACTGTCTATTATGGCCAAAACTGTAGGACAACTGTTTATAGGAGTTATTGCCCTTAGATGTCGAATTATACCCTTTTTAACTCGCCTGGCCCAAAGGTGTCCATCGTCGTTGTTTGTCGTCTTAGTGAACTTTTACAAAAATCTGATCCTGAAACTACTGGGCCAAATTAAACCAAACTTAGCCACAATTGTCATTGTTTCTAGTTTAGATATTGTGTCCGATGACCCTGTCTGACAACCAACATGCCTGACATGGCTAAAAATAGAACTTGGGGGTAATAATGCAAATTTTGTCTATTATCTTGAAAACCGCTATAAATACTGAAAATCTGACAGGGGCAGAAATGTTCAGAATGCTGAGATCTACCTATTGTCCGTTTACATCAAAACTGACAGAATAATATTGAAAATAGAAACAGGGAATGTGTAAAAGAGACAACAACCTTACCAAAGAGCAGAAAATAGCCCAAGGCCTCCAAAGGGTCTTCAACACAGTGAGAAAATCCCGCACCCAGAGGTGGGCTGAGCTGGCCCCTAAACAAAAATGTATACTAGTTCAGGGGAAATGGACGTCACACTAAACTCTTGAAACATATAAGTGAACCAAAATTGAAAAAAACATACAAAGGCCAGAGGTTCCTGACTTGGGACAGGCGCAACAATGCGGTGGGGTTCAACATGTTTTGTGAGATCTCAACCCTCACCCTATACCTCTAGCCAATGTAGAATAAACAAACACACAGCAATACGCACAGTAAAACTCAGTTCAAAAGAAGTCCGAGTCCAATGTTAGAATAGATAACAGAAGAAACTAAGCAAAATGACAAAGATCAACATAAATTAACAAAAGACTACTAGCAGTTATTGACATGCCTGCTCCAGACCTCATTAATTCAAAAAAAAAACCATCTTTAATGACCTGACAACAGTATGATAACAATATCCCTTCTGAATAAGTCTGTTTGAAGGTTTGGTTAGCTGTTGAGGTGAATGACGACATTTTTGTGCTTTGTATAGATTATTACCATTAAAGATGGGATGTGAAATACCTGAACGTATAAGATGTCTGCACGTTGATTTATATTTACGAATGATGTCATTGTACTGATGATAAAATTTAGTAAATGTTTTGACAAGTTTGTGATATCGAAAACCCTGGTGTAATAATCTTTCAGTAATACAGAGATTTCTTTCTTTAAAATGAAATACGTTGTTACATACACAGCGAATCAAACAAGTTGAGATATATAAACATCATAAGATGGTGACAAGGGAATGTCACCATCTAAAAATGGATAATTAACAATAGAAAATGAAAAATCATCTCTTTTATCGTAGATTTTGGTATTAAGCTTCCTGTTAAAGATATAGATATCAAGATCCAGGAAAGGGCAGTGTTCATTGTTAGTATTAGCTCTATTTAAAGTCAGTTCAGCAGGATAAATTTCTTTAGAGTACATACTGAAGTTGTCATTATTGAGAGCCAATATATCATTCAAATATCTAAAAGTGTTATTAAATTATTTTTTTTAGGAAGACTTCTTATAGGAGTTATTGCCCTTAAATGACAAATTTTACCATTTTTTTTCTCTTTTTTTTGCATATTATCTTGAAAACTATTATCATGATTATCGATGGATAGCTGCTTTTAATAGCAAACACATTATCAGCAAGACTAGATCTACAAACAAGTCAGCATAGCTGTAATCATCAGTCGACTCTTTATTTGAGTTCTTGCTCTTTAATGATGATTTTTACCAATATTTTATGTTTTTGCCTATTACCTTGAAAACTATAAAAGATAGATAGACACTTTAAATAGCAAAAATGATCAGCAAGACAAATACCTTAAAAATGGCCTAAATCGTTAGTAGACTCTTTATAGGAGTGATTGTCCTTAAATGACTATTTATTTTACCCTTTTTTGTGTTTTGGGATAAAACTTAAGAAGATAGAGAGAAACTGTAAAACAGAAAAAATTATCAGCCTTTTTAGATCAACAAAAAAGGGATTTTTTTCATGATTTCTATTCTAGTCCACAATGTTAGAGAGTGTCCATTGTTGAAGATGCACATAGACCTAAGTGAGTGATTCAGGCTCTTTTGAGCCTCTAGTTATGTTTATATCAATATGGCTCATTTTTGTCAGATTAGGGATTTTGTTTCTTTGAACCTATAGTTATACAATAAATGATATCATACTATTAATGAAGGAAAAAAGTTATTTATTGTCCTGTATTTCACTTGAAGGCACTTGAAAAGCTGTCTATTTGTCCCCTGTGTGATGTGTTGCAGGGGACATAGAAATACTTGGAGTCTGGTCTTGTTAGCGCTCTCACTTGCACAATTCTCACCAGATTTTTATAAAACCTATATCATAGGTTTATATCAGCAAGGTCTTGGACAAGATAGAAAATCAGTGCTGATCATCTATTTTTAAAAGAGTTATGCCCCTTGGAAATATTAATTATATGGAAAATTGAATTGTTAGCGCTCTCATGTGTACAATTCTTGCATAGTTTTTTTTAAGCTTTTCATAGGTTAAAAATCAGTAAGTAATGCCTCAGACAAGTTCGAAAATCAGTGCAGATAAATTATTTTTAAAAGAGTTATGTCCCTGGAACTTTTTCCTTATATGGATAACTGCAATGTAAGCGCTCTTACGCATACGTGTACAATTGTTGTCAGATTTTAAATTTTTTTTTTGATATACCGGTATATCAAAGGTTTATATCAGCCATGTCTCGGGCAATTTTAAAATCAGTGCTGATCATATGTTTTGAAAAGAGTTATGCCCCTTGGAAATATTAACTATATACGAAATTGCATTGCATTTGCTCTCACGCCTTCAATTCTCTGAAGATATTTATGGAACAAAAAAATTTTTTTTTCAGTTATTGCCTTAAGCTTGGATAGATAAAATATTTGCAAGGCTAGGACATTGGAACTCTGTTGTTTTATTTAAATTAGTAATTCCTATGATAATGAAATTGTTTTTGGTAGTGAAAAAATCAAAATTAATTTTTAAATTGGCAAATTTGAGCAAGATGAGCATTTATTATGTTCTAAGGAGCCTCTTCTTGATTTACCATGTGTTGCTTATGTAAGTACACACCTGGTGACAAGTCTAATTCAGTAAGTTGCATTCGAGGAAAAGAGGACAGGACTATGGTTACAACAATTGGAACATATTCCTTGTCATCTGTTTAACAGATATTCCTAATGGTCAACCAACACGTGATGGTGTCCAGAAAATTTATGAAGAGATGATTTCAACTTCACCACTTGGAACTCTTGAACAAGATCTGTAAATAGGTCTGAATAGATGTATTGTCAGTTGTCTTTTTACAGGAGTTATTGCCCTTAAATGACAATTTTTTTACGCAATATAAGAAAGAGAGATACTGTTAGCAGAAAAAATTATCGGCAATTATTGCCAATTCATGCAATACAAGACAACAAAAAAAAGAGATTTTAGTCATAAATTAAATTCTAGTCTACAATGTTGGAGAGTGTCCATTGTTGAAGATCCACATACACCTAGGTGAGCAGACTCTTTAGAGCCTCTAGTGCGTTTTTATACGTCCGTTTACGGGACGTATTATGGTATACCGTTGTCCATTTGTCCGTCTGTCCGTCTGTCCGTCTGTCCATCCGTCCCTCCGTCGTCAACATGTCGGACATTAACTAAAAAACGCTTTATCCAATTTGCATATAACTTAGGTGAATTGTTTATATTTATTGATCTGAGCTCCCTTTCGTTTTTTATAAATTTCAGATTTTACGTTTCCGAGTTATGAGGTTTTATTCATTAAAAAAAGGGGGATTTTCCAGTTTTTGGACAATAACTCCAAAATGCTTTCACCAATTTGCAAGAAATTTTGGTGAATTGTTTATATCTGTTGACATGAGCTCCCTTCTCATTTTCATAAATTTTAGATTTTACATTTCTGAGTTATGGGTTTTTATTCATTAAAAAAATGGGCAGTTTACAGTTTTCGGACAATAACTCCAAAATGCCTTTAGCAGTTCTCATGAAACTTTGGTGAATTGTTTATATCTATTGATGTAAGCTCCCTTTCGATTTTTATAAATTTTAGATTTTACGTTTCTGAGTTATGATGTTTTATTCATTAAAAAAGGGGGGGATTTTCCAGTTTTCGGACAATACCTCAAAAATGCTTTCAGTAGTTCTCATGAAACTTTGGTTAATTGTTTAAATCCATTGAAAAAAGCTCCCTTTCGATTTTCATAAATTTCTGATATGACATTGAGAAGTGATTGAACTTTATTCTTTGAAAATGCGACGGGGGTATCATGCGCTCATAGCGCAGCTGTTTATTATTTTACCAATTATCTTAAAATCTCTTATAACTACAGAGAAACTTTAAATAGTAGAAATGATCAGCAACTACAAAAAGGTCAACATATCAGAAATAGTC